GGCATGTGCTCCTACTGCCCGCTCCATCTCCCTTTCCCTGAGTCCTGGAAATGCACGCCTCAAAGTAGAAACCCAGTGTAGCAAAGTCAGGGGTCATATGTGTGATGACAAAAGTTCGAAAACCTGTGATTACTGCAACAAAACTGAGAACAACTGTGATTTCAAATCAGTATAACTTCTGTAAACAGCAGAACGTTCTCAGTTTACAACCTATGGACTATGTCTAACCGCATGTCTGCACCATGGCTCCACAGGGAACACAAATCGCTTGAGGAAAGAAAAATCGGATTGTGGACCTTGAAAAAGATGGAACAGGACACAAGAACATTCTGATCAACCAAATATCACTGGACAATTACAGCAGTAAGCAGAAGGTATAGAACAAGTCATAGTACCACTGATCAGCGCTGACCATCCTCCTGAACTGAAACCGCCGACAGTGCACTCCGTTCACAATTTACAATAATTAATGCAAATCTTTCACAGCTCAAACAGGACAGTGCATAATGCAAACCTCTATGGATGTTATGCAAAAAACAGACAAAAAAGCAACAACAACAACAACAAAACCTGATATAAAAAGAAGCCTGATGAGCATATTCTTTGGTTCGATGAACCGACATAAACGCGTAGGGCTCAGATGGGGTATGGCGTATTTAGTGTATATGTGGCCAGGATTGCCAAAATGAATGCATAGTCCTGACAGTGAAGCACAAAGGGGGGAAGGGTGATGATATGGGGCTGTGGGAGTGCTGTTGAAATACCAAAATATTGGCTGACAAGATGACTCCCAGTCTGCAGAAGCTTGGCAGAAGTGAAATATTCTAACAAGATAATGATCCAAAGCACACTGCCAAAATCACACAAGAGTTCCTACAAAAAACAAACAAAAAAAAGGTGAACTATGACCTGGCTAAGTTTATTGCCTGAGTTGGATCCAAGGTATTTAAAGACAGCAACACAACCTTTCCATCAATGCTGAAAAAGAAAAGTCTGAAGAATGGCAGAACATCTCTTAAGCAGCTTAAGCCAGTTGCATCAGGTTCCTTCTTTGGGGCCTGTATTTTACACAAAGCAAATCTTAACTTTTAGTTTAGAATTTTACACGAGAGCAAATAGTGTTCTACTTAGAAGTAGTACAAATGCTGTGATGCTGTTGTGAATCTTTTGATACTTATGTGATATTGCATGGGAGTGCATTCACTTCTGTGGCATACGAAGAACAAAATAGCTCTCTTCTGTAAATACAACTGTACTTCAGTGTGAGAACATTGTTGGATATCAGCTGGTAAACAAAAGCACTAGCTGATCCCTGAAAAGAGAAAGTGAGGATTTACAGAGAAGGATCCATTCAGCAGAGTGACAACAATAACCATCAGCAGCCCGGTATGTGTGAGCCCCTGACATGACTTCCACGTGTAAACAGTTTCATTATTAGCCTTCACACGCAGGTCGATACAATCTGATACTGCTGCCTGCTCAGCTCCAAAGACATGGAGCTGAAAACAGTCCTGAGCTGGAGACAAACAAAAGGAAGATGTTGTGGCTCGGCTCTCATTGTCTCACCTGTTTGCTCAGAACTGTTAACCTTCAAACAAAGAATAAAAATGTCCCGTCTGTGCAAGAAAACACAGCTATTTCCACAAAGTCAAGGCAGGAGAAGTATGATTTTATTAATGGTAATAACTTGTCTATGTGTGCCCGTGTGTGTTTGTGTAAGTGGTCATCAATGTGTACACATACAGTTATTAGTGTTATTTAGCCTCTGCGTTTCATTTTCATAAAAACACGCCAGGGCCAGCGGAGACAAAAATGCAGGTTCCCAGCCACGATCGTTATTAAAGCGAGAATGACTTCCTGTCAAGCCTATTACCGACACACACACACACGCGCACACACACACACACACACACACACGCACACAGAGCAGCACTTAGCACCCAGTTAAGAGCTATTTCAGGGACACCTTCTATTTCCTATTGCAAACAGTGTGTCAGCACCTCTCGCCATTGATGCTTCAATCTGTTCCATTAAACGCTAACGAGCGGCTGTGAGAACGGACCGTTGTCACACTAAATTACACAAATACAGCCATAATCAGCTCTTAGTATGAGACTCTTCATTTCACAATGCTCTGCCTGGGAGGAGGCTAGAATGTGGACAACGTCTTATACATGCACATAATGAATGAAATGATTTGTAGATCAAAGGGAGGAAGTGTACAAAAAAGAAATAATAGGACGTGTATGTGTGCAATCAAAGCAAAAATACATTCCGCAGAACAAGTGCGGAGGGAAGAAAGGGAAATGGAAAAGAATGAAGGAAATACAAAAACACAAGAAAAAAAGGAGCTTTGAAACACACAGTGTATGGTCAGAGGGGAAAACTTAAAGGCACAATGTTACGTTGTTTGGCTTTGCACACCACAAATTTTATATACATAAACATTTCACCTTTCAAATGGGCAAAAGGATGAAAAGAAAGGATTGAAGACGAGGAAAAGACTGAACAAGGGAAGCAAATTACCCATCAGAGGAAGAAAAGGGAAAAGAAGAGGAGAAGGAAGAATATAAATAAAAGCGTAGAGTTGGAAAATATCAGAAAGAATCAGACAGAAGCAAGTGAGAGATGGAGGTGGTATGGGAAATAAGTCACTGACTGAAAAGGGAGGAATGAATGGGAAAAGCATGATTGGGACAAAAAAGGACAAAAGAAAAAAAAAATGGAAGAAATATGGGAATGTAAAATAAGGACTGCACTTGAAATCCCATATTTTTTCATTTTACTGAAAATATGTATGTACGGCAGCTGCCCTAACTAAGTGCATACTCTTTCATGCAGGATGTGAATATAATATGAATTGGGAGTACTACTAATACTGTGTCTTAAACTTTCTGTCACAGTCTGTAATGTGCAATGAGCTGGCATATGTGCTGCTGCCAGCACAGGCTTATTTATACTAACATAAGACACCGTGACGTATGTAATGTAACTGTGCAGAGGACAGTGGGTCAGAATGGTCTGAAAAAAACATGCTGGTTCACATGCTGCAAAATCTGACCACATGACATTCAAACATACTAAACTACATCTTTTTCTGGCACACTGTATATTATGGCAGTATGATATTAAATAAACCTCAAATGTATAAAGGATAGGGAGAATAAGAAGACAGAACTAAAAGTAGGAAGATGTACAGATGTGTCATGTGAGGAAGGAAAACAGAGGAAGAATGGATGAGAAAATGAGAAAGCAGCAAGAATAATGGATGCAGGCGTGGCATGTATTGAAGAAGGAAGAGGCTTTGCACCTTCATCCCATTTTGTCATTTCTACTTCCCATCCTTCCCTTGTGTGTGTTTTCTCTCTCTCACAGTAGTATGAGTTGTACACTGTCAAACTGTTTCGATCTGACTCCTGCTGTGTGTGTGTGTGTGTTTGTGTGTGTGTGTGTGTGTGTGCGTACTACACCAAAGAAACAGAATACTAACTTTGGTATGAGATCTTGCTATCTGCCTGGTTTTCTTTTAGAAAAACACAGCTCACACCGTGTGTATTTGAAAGAAGGGAACTAAACAGGAAATGTGGAGAGGGGAGTAAAAGCAGAGCGAAAGTGAAAAGAAAGGAAAATGATTCCAAATTGGCATCAGTCAATGTCTTCAGGTCAAAGCTTTGAGGTGTGTTTAGGCTCATTATCTGCTGCAGTATGAATCCTTCTCCACAAAGATGCAAACCAGAGGGTTGAGCATGTCCCAGCACCTCCTGAGAAGTGGTTTAGAGATCTACTTGTTCTCTAAGATGAAGCTGCTTTTCTATCTCTCAGCAAAAACAGACTGATGTCCTGATGTTCTGATGGTGTGTGCAGACTGCTCACTCAGTCTGCCTGATCCTGCTTTGGACACAACCGATCCCATTGCAACAAAGTATTTTAGAGCTCTATGCACTTAAAACCTCAGAAACTCCTTGGAAACCTTCAGTCTAGCCACGATCTGACAATGAGAAAGACATCATGTTAAGATGCTCTGTTCAAGAATTTCTTGACAGTCCTTAGCCTTCATGGCTGTCTTGACTGTATGGAGTTGTTCAGGTGGTCCGGAGGAAAAAAGTAGCGGCGCATCTTGACAATTGCATCACAGCTTCATCGCCGATTCTGTCACTGTGTTTGAAATCATCTGTCCAGAGAATGAGCTGGAATTGACCAAACATTTCGTGACTGGCTCTGACTTCCTTTTTCAAAGTGTCAATGTTGTTCAAGGATTTCAAATATTTTCAAGCAGCATTGTACGATCAAAAAGCAGCAGAAATTATCCATATGAGACACCACAATATGAGTACTAACCGCACTTCTACAAAGCACGATTATATAAACTCAATCTTCTCCTCTTATTTGGAGACATTTTAAAAGCCCGAATTTCAAAAAGCATGCTTCAGGTCAAACCTCTACACAGGAACCCAGGGTGTAGGCACAAGCTGCCAGTATTGAGTGTACTTTCATTCTGTGTAGAACTTTAATAAATGTCAAGGATTTCACTTTTTAAGCTCCTTTGATTGAAACAGCGTGAAGAGCATCCATCCTGCAAGATCCTGCAGAGCCAGTCATCTTGGCACGTTATTTCCTGGTTGAAGATTTTTACAGTATCCGTCAGCATTTGAGCTTTTTCGATGTAATAACGTCTCAAACTCTATAAATGTTGTGTGACAATCGCCATGATAATTGGAAGAACAATGTCACACACAAACGAGGAAATTACTATTCTTCGTTGACGTATAACATCAGGTCTATTATTGTGTTTCCTTTATTTAACCAAGTCAATTATTAACTTTTAAAGCACAAGCGGCAGGCTAATTAGTCTTCAGTGTCTTCAGCCACCATTCCAGCACACAAACTTGACCTCGCTTACTTTACGACAAGATTTTTCTCAGCTGCTGTTTTGCATTTCCCTTTCAGGTTTTATGTTTCAATAAATCATCACAACAAACACAAAGAGAATCAGAACCTACTGATGGGGGATGCTGGTTTCTGGCTTCCTCCTCTGCAGTTTGTGGTTTTGTTCTGCAGCGGTGGGACTGGTTTGTAGGACTGTCCAGTGGCTCGGTACATGGCCTGGACCCACAGCACCCGGTCCTGCTCGTCGTCGCAGGCGAACATCACCAGGTCGCCTTCTTTCACTGCGTTAAAAAACACTCGACCACCCTGCAGGCCTGAGGAGGAGGAGGAGGAAAAAGAGTAAAGCCAAAATTAGCCAGAACAGTGAACAAATAATTGTGCCTGGAGCTTCCATGAAGTTCTTTCGATGTCTACACCTTTCTTGTTGTTGCTTTGTTTTAGTTGCTGTCATCAACTGAAGGAAATCTTGGCCGACTAAAATGACACCTACCCATCAACCAATCAAATGGCGGTGGGGGAAGAACATTCTTCATGTTAAGATTGTCTTGTATTAAATTATTTTAACCTCATTATTTAAATCAGTATTTCCATTGTGATATCATTTTTCCTTCTTGAAGAGAGAGGAGGCTTCACATCCAGCTCGGCCTGGGTGTCGCTTTAACAACTGGCGGAGTTTAGAGCCGTGGAGCTATCGATGGATAAGCCTGCTGTTCTATTAGACAAAAGGCATAAACATGTTCATATGCAACATATTCACAATTAAAGACTCAAGCTTCTAATGTGAAAGCTGGCAAAGTTAGCCTACTTTATCTCGATGATAAGCTCTGTTAGTTATTGAGCTGTGATATACAAACACTGTTTGCAAAGTGTACACTCGATTTTTTTGGCCAGCTCTACACAAGGTGCAGTCACATCGACGATTTATTCGACCCGGTGTCAGTTAGTTTGGAGCCGACCCAAGTAAAACACTAAAGTTAAACAAGTGAGACCTTGCAGCTTCCATTAGATTAAAGTTGTGATAATAGAGGGGTAGTCTGTTCCTCCTACCACTTAAAACTATGGATTCATCCTGGAAGTTGTGGAAAATATAATTAAGTCTATAACCATTTAAGCCATGTGTTCAGATATGTTTCATATGCACGCGAAACATTTCAATCACATTTGCTTACATATGATCAGAACATTGAAAGAAGCATCACAATAATGACACTTTTCTTCCTATTAAAGTAGTACTGGTAATTGTGTGACCAATGACAAAACGACCAGCTGAACGGTCAACCAGGAGACAACAGCTCGAGTATTAACATTGCTGATGATTTGGGGCGTGTCATGTGTGGTGAGTATTTTCAATATATTAGTTTTACTCTTAATTAGTGATATAAATGAATGAGCAGCTTCCTCGCAGTCCTCCATTATTTCCTCTGGGGTTACCGTACATAACCAACATTGTGTCACTTTGTCTGGTCAGCTGATTAATCAGAGCAGACTGGGATTCTTGGGAGGGGGGCATTGAGGAGGCTTTTGGACTGAAGAGGTGCTGTAGGAATGTATGTGTATGATCCCAAAAAACGTGTTATTAGAACATTAAAGCACCTCAAAAATAAAACCTGCAAAGGAGCATAATGCAGGCTCTTAAGTGTTGTTTTTATTTAATATTCAGTTATTATATTAGCAGTGGTAAACCAATGCCATCAAGTGCAGCTGTAGTTGTTGTTTTGTATGCTAACAACATAATCAGTGTTTCATAAGTGCAAATTACAAGGGTTTTAATGTCTAATTTCCAGTGTTGTATTGGATGCAAAATTTGTACTAGAATATTGACAGTTAACCTCAGGAACATGTTTAGGGGCACTGATTTACAGAAGGTACTAGAACAGGGGCTAGCCAGGACCAGACATCTGAACTGTGGCAGTGACTTGATGAATTGTGGAGGACGATCTTACAGCTGTTACAGACCAACTGTAAAGTCAATGAATTTGTACGAGTGGGGACATTTGGATAGAGGCACCGAGGCCTAAAACAGGACTGGCAATAAAATGATGATTGTATTTGTACTTGTACTTTATCAATACAGTCAGAAATTTGTTCAAATAAGTGTTTTATAGTTTCATTTAAATGCATCAGATTCAAACTGCCACAAAACAAACAGCAAAAGTTGTTAAGTTCAATTCAATGAACAAATAAGAAGTCATCCTCAGATGTATGTTGTGTGCATGTATGTTGCAGGCGTGTACCTGGCTGAGGGTCGCAGTAATCCACCGTGTAGCCTTCCAGTTGCATCAGCTCCTGAGGCTCAGCCTTCTTCTCTCTGTAGCTGCACATGGCAAATGTGTACTGGCTTACCTGCAGGACAAAGGCGACACACATTGAAGACACTGAAGCTCCTTAAATTTCCAGTGCATTTTTTCCCCACAGAGATTTTAAACTAATGCAGTCGGTTCAGCCTGAGACAGTGACTTATCCTGACATATGCTAAATAAAAGTGCACAGCCTGTTCTGATGCATTTATATCTCATTTCTATGCTTTGTCCAGCTGAGCCTTTGGTACTTAAGGCCAAAAGCAGATGGAAGAAAACCTTCCAGTACGAAGAACCATCAGCATAGTTTCACCAGCATTTGCTCAAAATACATCATTATATGTTTTTTTAATTTCTTTCAGTTTAACTGCAGCAAACTCATATCAGCTTTGAACACATAAAGAAACAGAATTCCTTCTAAAAACACAACAATCCTTATCCTGATCCAGTCTTAACTTTACCTCCAGCACAACTGTGCAACATGGACAACTGAGGGCATTACTCCGCTGCTGAGGCAGCTCCCACTCTGCTGGACAGCAGCATTAATGACCTCCAACACTGATGTTGGATGAGAAGATCTGGTTCACATTCTTCTCCACCAAAGTGGGAATATGGACATTAGAAAGAACTTTTCTAAATGAACTGCACCATTAAAAAACAAAAACATTGTCAAGCACTTGGTTCAGCCATAAATAAACAGATGATATTCAGTGCAGAGATTCTATCTTTTCACGCCTTTACAGAACTTTTTCTAACAAAATTGTCACAAAGAGCAGTGAACAGAGTTTAAGCTCACAAAAGACCATTTAATTTAAATGTGCATTCTTGCCCTACAAAGATCCAGGGCGATCAGTAAGTGCTCAGAGAGTAAATGACAACTCAGGTAAAAAAAGGTGTCAAAGAATATTGCAGAAACTAAAACACTATTAACTGTGTGTCAGTAGGACTCTAGGGCTCAGACGAGGGCTTGAAAAAATAAGTTTCAAGTACAGCGGCTACTGTGATGTTCTTTAATAACCTATTAATAACATTGTATTTTTTTCCCCCTAATTCCTTTCTCTTGTGTAGCCCTTCCATTTAAGTGTTTCAAATAAAAATTAAAAAAAGAATAAAAGAAAGAAACAAAAAGAAAAGAAAAAAGGGAAATGAGAGTTTATGAAAGAGAACTGCCTCAGTATGAGGACGTGTTCGTATGAAGGCCTGAGGACTGATGCAAAGCATTTTACAGACAGAAAAGCTTCTTATTTTCACTGCTGCTGGATTTGAGGAAAACTATGTCTGAATCAGAACCTGGAATAAATGTGGATCAGCAATTTATTCATGGCAGTCATTTGCTGTTGATGTGCTTCAGCTTTGACTTTCAGTCTCCAGCAGCTCTCTGATCATAAGACACAAGATCCACATCAGATCAATACAAGTCATCTGATCTCACTAGGTTTGTACCTGAACAAGAACAAAATATCTTTTTTTCCACCGTTTCCAGACTCTCTGTCCCACAGCATACAGGTACCTGAAACACAAACAAAAACATAACATCAACATAAAGGAAACTATAGAAACTCCTGCCTGAATTATATTTGATTTCACAGGTGTAAAGTCTGAAACCACCAGAATTAATCAGGTGTGAAATGCGTTTCACATTTAATATATATGACAAATGAATGGCGTGTCTAATCGTTCAGATTAAAAGCAAACATATGTATCTCATATTGAACACCACAACAATTAGACACGTCATCAGTGTCAACGTTTGAAACAGCGACACGTTTTCAGATTATATGATCTTCACCAGCAGAATGAATTTGGCTACTTTTCAGAGAAGCACTATTTCCAAGGTCAAAGCTGAACTTCAACCTTTTGCTCTGTGCTTTCAAACGATATTTAGTGTGTCAATTATAATTCAAAACAGGTCAGTGTCATTAAAAATACAGCTGCCGTTCAACGAGTGAGTTTTAAGGAACCACACTGAGCTTTCTGACCAACATGGACGACAAGTCGTTAACTTAGAAATGTTAATATGAACATCTACAGTTCCAAGGAAGAGGGCAAACTCCAGCAGCTCATGAACACCATGTAATATGATTGAAAGCTCTAAAACAAACTGTTAAACTGACCTTGAGGTGAGATTGTTTTGTCGAATGTAAAACGTGCTTCACATGCGATGAATTCACTCGTGGAGTTTAATAAGTGACTAACTGCAGAATTGTTTCACGCAGTCTCCCTTTAAATAACACATTTGTTTTATTTAGTGTTTTCCTTCAATTTTTGCATTCTTTTCTTTCCCTCCACTTTGCTGAATCATGCTTTTATGTGTTTCTTTCCGAGCTTCAGCTTTAAAATTAACTGACAAATAGTTTGATCAGTGATAAATCATTGTAGTCATATCAATGAATTGGTTGCTTTTCTGTGTTTGACATTGACTGAGTCTTTAGGGTTTGGACTGTTGCTCGGGAAAAAGATGCACCACAATTAACTCATAGGTTTAAATTATATATATAAAAAAAAAAAGAACAAAGAAGACAATTAATGGCACAGATTTGAAATTCACAATCGATACTTTATCTACTTAGATCAAGCCACCTTTCAGCCACCTTATATGTATTTTCTTAACATCTTGCTCAAGCTGCCACTTTCATTGAACTGTTGAGAGTACAGACATAATGTTAATAATTTAATGGAAATGACAACAATTAGAAGTGTTTAAGATTCCAAATGATCGGATCCTGTTGGTGTCAGAATCCAGTTTCAAGCACTTTGATGCTTCACATCAAAATACATCTCCAATTTGCAGAGACTTTTTCCTTTACTCCACTACTTATTATCACATTAATGTCCTCCTCTAATATGTAACTAAAGGAATAAGTAACGTGTTCTGAGCTGAAAGAGGCCACGACACAGACAGAAGCTCATTGAGGAAGTCTTGAGGAAAATGGAAGAATGACCAGCGTGGCCTCTCAATCAATGGCTGCTCCCGGGCCTCGTGAAGCGTGGGATACAGGCAAGTGCAAGTGAGGAAAATCAATCGATGGCGAGACCTCTTTCTTCAGCCCTGCTGCCCACCCTTAAAGAAAAGGCCTCCAGTCAAGGCTGCGGTGTGTCTGGACGGAGAATCTGGGCCATTCCACATGACTCCGGGTTAACATGTGGCACCGCTCACCAGCCACTTGTGAAAATTATTTGGTTGCCTGTCCTCCTCCTCCTGTAGTTTCAAACATCCATTCAGCTGCACGACGACACAGCAATGAACTGCTGACGCCAAAGTGTTCACTGCAGGCATTTAACAGTCCTACCTGCACAAAAACATCCGTCCTTAACTGGTCATTTAGCTGGACATTCAGACTGGAAGGGAGTTTAGAGTGTCTGGGCTGTTTAAACAAGGAAATTTACAGCTTGGTTAATCTGTATGCTCTATCTCTACATTTATGCATTCACTGTGTAAAAAAGAAAGTCAATAAAATAAATCAGAATAAGGCAGATCACTGCACAAGAATCGAGACACCTCTCATTGGTTTGGGTTTAAAACAGGTGAATTGTTCTGGTTGATTGAAGATTATGTTGGTAAGAAAAACATCTAAGACAGAATGATTTCTAGGGACAGCAGCACAAACATTCACTGCTTTCAGTTTCACCCAGTTTACAAAAATAAGATTAAAATGTTGGTAGTTGTGTTACATTGAATTCCACTGTTTTATGATCCAAGGCATCCATAAGTGGGTCTTTCTTCTGCAAGGTAAAATAATTTTACTCCAAAAAGCACTGTTTTTTGTCTTTGTCTTGCAGGGAAAAAAAAACCAAAACATTTTAATATTTATTAATAGTAAGCTATTATTAATATCTTTTGAGAAAATAGATTTATTGCAGTAAGCAGATACAGAACTATATATGTACAAGAGGTAATATTTTGAAGATTTGCAGCTTTGCTCTGTAATCTCACCACAGTGGCTGATTTTATAGCTTTGTAAAATAAGAACACATTTTTTGGACACTATTATAATGTAAATGACATAAAGGAAATGGGAACACAATCACTCTACGGGTTAACCCTTCTGTTTTGAAATGAGATAACTGTTTGGTTCTAAGAAAATAGCATTTTAGAAAGGGAATCATTTCCACTGCAGAAAGGAGAGTGCACTAACTACTTCAATA